GATCATGGGGTCTCTGCACAAAGTCCCCTCCTCAGGGCCCCTCACTCCCATCCTTCAGAGGTGCTATCATCATCACATAAGGACATAACCTCCAGCCATCGACTGCAAATCCACAGGGAGAGTGACCCTCTGAATCTGCACTAACATGGGCAGGGTGAGTGATCTGCCTCCCACCGCAGAACAGCCCACCATCTGAGCCACGAGGCTTCCTGGATCCCCACACCCAGGCTTCCCAAGGACAGGAAGATGATTCTGGCCAAATATGTGTGCTTGGGGACAGGAACGTGGATCCGTGGCTGGTGCTGTTCTCAGCATTCCCTGAGAAGTCATGGGGGTCGAAGAGAAAGGCACGTTCTGTAGTTTGAGACCAGGAAGGAGTTACCATGCCAGGCAACATTATGAATGCAATTTACCCAACAGAGTGTTGGAGAACATTTGTAAAGGAGCTGAGGCTTCCCAGGATACATCACGGCTCTCTCCAAGGAGATTCTTGGCCAAACCACAAAAGAGGGTCAGCCAGGCTCCTTGCCATCACCATGGGATGCCCAGGTGGAAGGGAGAAAATCAGAGAAGAAACTTTGCGGTGCTGGTCGGGAACTGTGTGAACTCAGTTTTCAATGTACAACAAACACATGCAAATGTCAACATGAGCGCTTATGCACATGGCTGACAGCACACGAATGTCGGAACTCGGCCACGGAGAGGGTGGGCTTCCACGCAACAGGGAAGGGTCAGGTCTGTGGGAAAGGACCAGGGGCCTGCATGTCCCCTTCTGTCAGAACGGGAATACACGCGTGGAGAATGCAGGACGTGCAGGAAGACAGGAGCCAGTGCCAGGGCTGCCCGCTGCCCGAATCTGGGGCACTCTGAGCATGGAGATGCACTGTGCCACCACGACTGTTTAGAGGACGTGCCCCTGAACACACACCAGGGGAACACAATGGTCTGTGGTGGCAGGAGTGACGAGGGTCCCTGCAGTCGGAGGTTACACAAAGGGGGGTCATGTGTGTGCATTCCGTCTGTTTGTCCCTCTCTGTCTCTGTCTCTCCCTGTCTCTTGCTCTCTCGGTCTGTGTTTATCTCTCAGCCTCTCAGTATCTCTGTGTGTCTCCATCTCTCTCCCTCCTGTGGGTCACTGAATCATGCGAGGCCCATCGTGAACGGCCCTGTGGAACCACCTACCTGGCTAGAAACTGAGTCTCCCACCAGCCGTCACGTGAGTGAGCTCAGATGTCGACCCTCGGCCCTGGTCAGCCCCTTTGGCCCAGGTCAGCCCTGGCCAGCACCCCAGCCACACCTCATGAGGGGCCCCGATCCCAAACCGCCTGCTAAGCCACGCCTGGACTCCTGACACTGGAGACTGGGGGAGACGGTGTGTGCACAGTGCGCACAGGGCCGCCTGGCGCACAGTGAGAGGTGACTCACGGAGGAGCCAATGACCTACTGAATAAAACCCACTGCGAGTCCAGAGGTAGAATAAGTGAAAGATCTGGTGAAACCGGGACATTCATGTAGCTCTGAAGTACCTCCCCACAAAAGTCACTAGTTATGACTGCATTTGGCAGCTACCCCTCAACCACGTGATCACGCAGAGTCCTGGGTGGGCTGGTCTACGCCCGGCATTCTTGTAGAAGCAGTGACGCGGGCCACGCCTCGGGAGGCCACATGCCGTGAAGGCAGCACTGGATGACCGAGGGCCCTGAGCGGGGCGGGTGCCCTCCAGTTCTGACAGCCCACAGACAGCGAATTCCAGGTCACAGGGTACCAGGCTGTGCTGTCATCTCAAACAGTCCTTGGCCGCATGTTTGCAACTTTTCTATGAGTTTTGATTACTTCAAAAACTCATTTCAGGAGACGACTCTGATGGAATGAACCATGCTGACTGCAAGGCCCCACCAGGCTCAGCCAGGGTGGGAGCAAGGGGCCAAGCATGGGATCAGCACCGTCCACCCCCCGGGGACCCACAGCAACCTGACCAGAGGCTACTGAGGAGATGCCGCCCCACAGACACTCCTGCCTGCCACCTCTACTTTCTGCCGTGACCCACTTTTCCTTCTTTTCCCTCCGTCTCAGTCTTCACAGACGCCACCCCTCCCCTACTCCGCCTCCCTCCCAGTGATCCTCTCCAGGGCGTTTCTTCTATTTTTTCCCAGTCAGGGAAGAATTTAGCCACATTGTATGTCACCCTGAATGTCCCATTATCCTGAGGCTGTGAAGGCAGAAGGGCTGGCACACAACCTCAAGAACTCCCTGGGGTGCTCCAACCCCCTCATCCCCTGGGGGTGCATACTGACAGACACCCCTAGATCAGAGGCCTGCCCTTCTCTCCGCCCCCAGGAATCACCTTTCTGATCCATGTCCCCCACCCCATGTCCCTGCCTGAGGACCTGCTGGGAGGTGACTTAAGGTGTGAATTTAGAGGGAGAGGGGAAAGCTGTCCTCCCTGCCTCCTGCCACGAAGGTGCCTCATGAGAACAAACAGCAGGCTCCAGAACATCTCCCACACGCAGTATTCACTGATCTCACCCATTAAGCACACGGCAGCGCAAACCCACAGAGTGGGGACACCTCTGTGCTCTCGCCGAGTTTCCTTGTGAAGTTACCTTCCATTTATGACAACTGACACACATTTCATTCATGATCGTCTGCTACTCTAAGCTTTGAAGAAGTATGTATGTTGAGTGAAAGCTGTGGGTAAGTGACTGTGCAGGGAACAGCCGTGGGCAGCAAGCCTCCTCAGGTCCCAGCACTGGCCCAGGGACACTCAGAAGAGGCCGGGCACTGCTAGAGGGCCCCGGGCCCTGGTGTCAGCTCTGGTGCTTACAGGTGGGCGGGAGGTGGGAGCCAACAGCCACACGACCCAGCCAGGAGTGGCAGTGGCCAGGCACAGCAGCGCACTCATGCAAGACAAGACCCTGCTGGGAAACGCAGGGCTCTGAGGTCAGCACAGGCAGCCCCATCAAGGCCTGGGCTCCTGTCTCCTACGCGGAGCAGTGGAGACACGGTGTTCTGTTTTTATTCTGGAACGGAACACAGTGGTGTGCCTTCCGCTTGGATGCTGCATGGCACGGAAGGTGCTCCACGTGAGAAGCCTTCTGAAGGAGATGCAGGGGGACGGACAGAGGGGGCAGAGAAACACTGGGCCCAGGGGCCTCCCCTGGGAACTGGCAGAGACACCGCCTGCCCACCAGGTGCCAGGGACCAGTGAGGCCTGGTGGTGGCATCTGTGCTGCAGGAGGTAGGCATTCTAGGTTGGGAAGGGTCCTCCAGGGGGGTGGGCAGGGCCCGGGAAAAGCACCTGGATCCAGGACCCTGAGCAGGAGGAGACTGGTAAGGCAAGGCGCAGACTACACTGTGGATGCTACCATGGAATCCCTGTGCAAACCCCCGAGTGTTCTGCCACTGCACACAGGACCTGGCGTGGCTCCCACTGAATCTTGAATCCCTCACGAGGCAGGAAGGCTCCCCTGGTGCTCACACAGACGCAGAGCGGGCATCACGCTCACCGGGAGTGGGAGCTCTGTTTGCCAACTATGCCTCCTGAGGCACTGGCACTGGCCCCAACCTCAAGCCCAGAGGCACAAACCCCCTCAAGGCTGTCCCAGGGACCCACCTCATCTCCATCTGCCACCTGGTCAGTGTGCGCTGCCAGCCAGGTCTCCAGCCCCTGAGGTCCCTCCCAGGACACTGCACATGACCCACACTCCTGAATTTCGCCGCACAGGCTCTGGCCTGCATGTGGCCTCACTCAGCACCTGCTTCTGCTTTAACTTTTGGCAGAAAGTGGAAAGGGAGCACAGAGCAGCCCGGGGAGAACGCAGTGCTGCATCCACAGGCTGCCATGCGGTGCTCAGTGAACACGCAGCAGCCACAGTGTCCCCCGCACAGGCACAGAGGGTCCTCCCAGGAGCAGGGCTGAGAGACCCGTTAAATATGCTTATAACACGTGTCTGTTTCTGGGACCAGGGATGTGACTGGCGGCTGGAAGGTGTGAGGTGATCCTGACCCGGGCTCCAAGCCATGAACGGGATGTCACGCCCGCTGCAAATGCCAGACGCAATAGGGGCACAGGCCGCTGTCCAGTGGAAGGCAGGGCCCTGACTGACCATGCAGCGCCCACCCAGTCCCACACTGACCTACTGCACCACCGAGCCCCACGGATCCCTCAGCCACCATGTACATGCCTGGGCCCCGGTGAGCCCACCGACCCACCCTCAGTCTGGGGCTCCTACACCTCCCATGGCATGGCCAGTCTGTTTCCTCCTCTAAGCAGAGCCTGAGGACCTGCTGCCCACAGGAATCCACCTCTTCCAGGTCACCCCCAAGCACCTGGCCCCCTTCCTGCTCTTAAAACCCACTGGGAGCCAGGGAGTCCAGCTTGAAGAATCCACTGGCTATACCCTTGTGACTTACGTACACTTTTGATAGATGTGCTATATTCAGTGAAACATTTATTTAAAGAGAGAAAAAGAGACATGCACTTTCTATGGTTCTGACAGGCGCAGCCAAGCACCCGCTCTTCTGCAGTGACCATGCTCATTTTCACATTTGCTCAGTTTTTCCAGTAAAAATCAGTCTCACTCATTTCTCGTGGGCACCTTTACGCTCTCGGCAACACTGAACACCCCCTGCTCTCCTGCTCCCGCTGGGCCTTCTGGGCTACAATGCCACTTAAAAACATAATAAACCAAGATCCAAACTCAAAAGCCCACATTTATGCAAAGCTGGCAAAAATCTGGTCAAAACAGACCGTTTCCTGATACACCAGGGTCCCTGGGCCCCTCTGCACCGTTCCTGAGCCAACGTCCCACATCTGTGTGTCCTTCACAGACCCACTCAACAAAGGTCCCCGGTCCAGATGCCTCTCACGGGGCACACGCAGCTTCCTGACTTTGCTCTGATCTTTGGAAACCACAGCCTTTCAAGGCTGCTTCCCGATTTGCCACAGCCCACTCCACCCACCACCAAGAAGCGTCACTCACCATCTCCTGCGCCACATCGTCCGGTGTCTCTCTCTCCAGGTCGAAGGTGAACTCTATGGCCCCACTGTCCTTGGGCTTGCCCTTCAGTTTCTTGGGGTCCTCCACCCAGAGCCTCAGGGCAATGGTGGACTTCCTGCCATGGTCCTCCTCAGCCAGCTCCACCCTCACACCTGTGTCCTCTGCGAAGAAGGCATGGCTGAGCAGGTCCTTGATCTCGTACCTGGGGAGAGAGCAGCTGAAGGGCATACCTGCTGGGGGGCTGAGACCCACCCGGCTCTCTCTAGAAAGTTCTGGCTACACTGCCCTCCAGGGGCACACAACGGTTTCCTGTGTACCCCCTAACTCCTGGGGGAGGAGGGAAAATGACCCCTGAACACATCTCACTGCGCAGTATTCAAGATTTCTTTCTCTGATTATAGAAAGAAACCTGCCCATGTGAGAGACTTGGGAACCCAGCCTCTGCGCCCCTGCTGAGGGCTGGTGAGCTCAGGCCCCACAGACACCTGGCTCCAGCGAAAACTGAACTGGACCTGGAAGAGTCCAAACGCCCATATTCAGGGGGTTTTCTGGAAGCCCCTCAGGAGAGGACAGGTGCAGCTACTGGGTGTTGCCACGGTCACCACTCTGCCCCACCCCAAATCAGCATTCCAAACACTAGTTCCTGTCTCTGGCACGACTGATCCATATACTGTCCCAGACATGGCTTCCCCCAGGGTCAAATCTGTGGTCACCATGGGCTATGAGCTCATGGCCGACCCCGGTGGACAGCCACCGCACATGAAAGGGGGATGCCGGGGGCCACCCTCAGCGAGGTTGACAAACGCTGTGGGGCCCCTGCGGAGGGGCCAAGGTCGTGGCCCCAGGGCTCTGTATGTCCTGATCTAGGAGGCGGTCTAATAGGGTCTGCTTTGAGGAGTCTTTCACTCTATGTGGTGTTCCTACACTTTCCTGATATGGATTGTATTTCACAATTTTTTAGTATTTTTCCTTAAAGAAAACACAATAACCTGCATGGGCTAGGAGAAAACGCCCAGGGAGCAGGACAGGGCTCTTGCCTGAGAGAGGATGGCTGTGGAAAAAGGTAGTGTCAATGCTGGGGACAGTGGCTTAGGTAGGCAGGGGCTGGGAGGACAAGGGCCCAGAAGAGGTGGAGGAGGAGGAATGGGGGGGCAGGG